TGGATATATAAACGAAATTTATTCCAAAAAATGAGGAGAATACTTATTTAGATCTAAATAAAAAATTAAACGAAAAGAAAAAAGAGACGAAGACGTAAATCAGTGTCTAAGACAACATTTTAAAAGAAAAACTACTTTTAGAGAGTTGGAGAGAAAACTAGACAAAGAAAAATTAATAAAATCATCCTAAATTTATTCAAAAAATAAAAGAGAAAAATTTGTGAAAAAACAAAGTTGTCTTATATTTTTTTATTAAATAAATTTGTCCAACAAAAAATTATGAAATAAAAAAGTGATTGTTCAATTGGATCGGCCCGCAGAGCCACATTGGGTCTAGGTAACGACGGCCTGTTAGCTTTCCACTGCAAGGAGAGGGAACTTTTCGCTGCTCTGTGAAACCAGCCTCACGCGGTGCGTTCCTCTCTAAGAGCATCGAGACCCATGCCTTCGCTCAAGCCCCGAAGCCCAACTCCCTGCTTGGAACAGGCAGGCCAGAGCATTGTCGCCATGGACCCGACCCTGAGGAATGTGCCAAAGTCCAATCACCTTAATGCCCCCACTTGGGTCACAAGCAGGCGTTACCCCGCTCGGCAAGCATATTGTTCCTTTATCACATATTTAAATAGCATAATTTCTACATATTTCACTGATGTGGGATTGCTTCTCCTTTTCTTCAACCTCTCTTGAGGTGTTATCCCAAGCGTGAAACACCGTTATACTCAAATTTGATGATTATAAAATATCAAATAGAGTATTCTGGATGATAAACCTACGAATCACGAAAGAAATGGTAGCATTGCTTTTGTTCTTTTATATTCAGACAAAAGTCCCCTAATTGCAGGCTTTGATCTGATGCATTGACCTGGAACTTGAACCCAATTAAATTGAGTCAAAAGGGTTGACAGAATGCTTATAAAAACAAGTAAAATTGTTCGATCGAAGTAAAACTACTCGGGTGTAACTTTCGAATATGGATATATGATCTGATTTCAGCCGAGGCACCCCATTTTTGTCAATCAGTAGAGCAGTAGCAGGAAGATAAGATTTGCATTATCAACAAATAGAGTGGAGCTTCAGAGAGACAATTTGTGAATTTTAGTGCATGGTGAGACCACATTCTTGTACGAGAGTTTGGATTTTAGCAGCAATCTCTTAATCACGTAAGAATCAACAAATCCCTCTTTCGTCAACAACCATGGTAGACTTGGTAACTTCAGATTTTGGTGAGCAAATGAACAGCCAACTTACTCGAGCACCCTTGGTAACTTTGTTCTAACCTTTCCCAAAAAAAAAAAAAACTTAAACCTGGTTGATTAATGACCGCCTCTGTTAAAATACGGAGCCTACTCTATTATCCGTTCTTAACATTGGAAAGAACGGTGTGTATAAGTTTCATTCTCCCTGCAGATGACAATTTTCCGGCTGTCCAACCTTGAGGCATAGCTGGAATCTTATGAATCAATGGAGCATACATAGTCCTTTATTGTGAGTCTCCAATGATATCATACAGGCAGATTGCATATTCTGATATCACTAGCTTCCTTGATATCCACCAACTCTTCAGTAGAGATCCCAGTTTAATACAATTCATACTTTGAAGGGTTTATTTTCAGACCCCGGAAGATGTCAAATTGATGCAAAACATTTCATATGCCCATCACCGAATCAAATTACCCCTTTTGTGAAAATCATCAAATCGTCAACAAACTTCAAATAGGAAATTGAAAAATACTAAGAAACGTCAATGTCCAACATCCTAAATGAAACCTTCCACAAAAAGGTAGGGAGAAAGAGGATCTACCAGCCTTAGAACCTTGAAAATAGTAAACCAATGCCCCCATATAAAGGTAGAGAAAACCAATGCCCCAAATAACTCAAAAAATATATATAAAAACAAATACCACTATTGGCGTTAAATGTAATTACTGTCAATACTGACAATATAATGGTGAATGTTGATAACCGATTTATCACATCTAAATTGTTACTTATTTAAGATACTGCTAACACCTAACAATTCGAGAGCTAATTTGAGAATCTAAATCTAGTATAAAATAGTTAATTAAACACCATCTAAAAAGACATAGTCTAATTCAATCTAAAAATGGAGATAAAAACATCCTATAAGAGTAAGAAAAAATATCCTTCATTTTTTTAGAAGATGAAAGATTTAATAAACACAATAATTTAAATTTAAATATGTAAAAAAAAGGGGGAAAATACAATAATATTTATAATGAAATAAAAAAACAATCATTTTGTTAAAAACCAACGACGTTACTCTCTTAAGCAATCAAAGAGAAAAAAACGAAAAGAAAAAGAAAAAACAAATCCTTAAGAAAGCTATTATATAGAATCATTAATATTAATTTAGTTAACAAAGATTTAGATCTTGTGGATAATTAGTTAAGATTTTGTTTAATGTTCTGACATATTTTCATCTTGTTCAGATTTATAATATATGTTAATTTTAGGTATATTTATGTTTTCGATATGTTAATTTATTCTTTATAACGTTTAGTTCTAAGTAGGAGTTGACACATAAATTTATATTAAAAAGTTTTAAAATTATATTAAATTTTTGAAGATATGGTATTAAATTATTAATACAAATATAAAATATCTAAATTTTATAAAATTTAAAAAAATGTAATTTCATCCCAACATTTTCTTTATCTATCCTGGATTATAAACGTGATTATACCACTTATAACTTTATTTATACGTTATAACAATAAAAATAATTATACAAATGCATATTGGTCTCTAAAAAGTTAGGAAATTTTATGTCAGATCCTTTTAACGTCCACACTGCAAATTGGAACTTGTAAAATGACAGCAGCAGTATGAAAATTGGACCTCAGATTCTGAAAACTGCTAAGTTAAAGTAATGTCCAACTACCATTTACATATGCAAACAAATGAGAAAAGAAGAGAGTGATCCCCATCTCCATCAAATATTGTTTTTCTGATACAAAAACCATTCACTTTTAGTTCTCTCTTCCTTATCCATCTACCATAACAAACACTTTATTTTTCATTATTATGTAAGAGAAACCATGATGTCCACATGATTGTCACATATAGATCCGAGCTAATTGATTCAATGCAAAGGAAAATTAATTGTTTTAAATTTAATTTAAAATTTAATATGAATTAGAACTAAAGTAATATCTTTATATTTTTCCATCTTTGATTTTAATTTAACTTTCATGTCTAAATGCAAGAATCAAGTTATCTTACTAGTTAAAGAGATGGTTATTATCCTTAGAAATCATGAATTCAAGCACCAGGGACCGCATAATATTTAAATGTTCATTGTCAATGGTTGAGAGTATATAGAACATATATCACCACTTGTAATCATTCTAGATTAATAAACAAAATTCAAAAACTTTCATTTCTAATAATGTTATTGTTTTATGTTTGATTATTAATTAATATTAATTTTCACATAAAAATGTTTTTAAGTTAATTAAAAGTTATATAATAATGTCCCTTCAAGAAAAGTTATGTAATAAACTAATAATGCTTTTGCACAAACGACACGGTTATGCTTCCTCTTACTTTTAATTAATGGGAAATTCGGTTTAAGAAAATAAAAATTTAAGCATAATTTTTTAATTCATTTAAATGTTTTGAAATATTTATTCTATTAGATTAAAGTTATAATATTATAATTATAATATTTTTTATAAATAGTATTATAATTGTAATAACATGAAATTAAAGTTTCAAATAGCAGAAAATTAAAATTTATACATAATTTTATAGTTTATCCCACAATTAATATGAATAAAAAGTTTCATATGGTAACAATTGTCGATGGACATTACAGCACGCAAGAAGCCGAGTTCACGATCGTAGGCTGGTAAGGTGGCATCCATCAAGTTCGGGCTGGTGCAAAGTGAATACCAATGGGGTACGATGCTTTTCTACAGGTGATTCGAGACAGCAGGGGCACTTCAAAGCTGGCTTATGCCAAGATTATTGGTGTCTGTACACTGCTGCAGGTGGAGCTTTAAGTGCATGGAAGCTCAGGAAAAGGCAAATGATAATTTAAAGGGATAATGGTAATGCTGTTAGTGGCGGATATATATATATATATATTAAATAATATGCATATTTTTTTATTTCATTTAACAGTTTAAATTAAATTTAATATTTAAAAATAATAATATATACATATATTCGTTTGAAGGCTATATGCATACGCCCCTTTATGCCACGAAAAAATATTGATGCTCTAGAAAGACATGCCACGAGAGTAACAAATTACTTTGTTGCAACATATTGATGCTCTGCTAGCTCAGGAAAGAGAAATTTTGGTGGAACATGTATTGCGAGAAGGGAATAAGATGATTGTTGCATTAGCCAAGTTCGCGTAGAAGCTCCCACTTGGTTTACATGAATTCATTCATTTACCGGATATGATATTTACAATGATACACGATGAGTGGGTAATACTCTTAACATTTTGATTGCAATTTAAGTATTTTACTCTTTTGTTTAAAAAATAGTGATATTATGAACTAATCATATTTATAAAAATTGAGGTTTGAGATGATTATAAAATAGTATCTATTCATTTTCTTTTTTAGTTATCAACGTATAAACACTTTGCAAACATAATTGTTTGGATTAAATCTAAAATCTTTAAGAATAATATATTTCCTTTAACCAATGAACTCGTAAGATGAATTTAGTAAAATGTTAAAATGATTGACATATGAACACAAAAAAATAAATATAAAACACATTTTCACTATATATTAGTAATACTTCATTAACCACTCTGTTATAAAATAATCCATTATATATAAACATAAGTGACCATCAATGGAACAAAACCACATTACAAGTCAAGTGTTAGAACCTAATTTTAAGAAAGAGGGAAATTAAGAATACGTTATATTATATAATTAATTAGTAGCCTTATTTTCCATTTTCTTTACAAAATTCAGATGTTTTTTTTCCTTTAAAAATATAAATTCGACAACCTTGATAATTTATCACAAATCATTGTTCTTGTCAATTTCGCCGTGCACCGCCGTTTGCTTGCCGTTGCCATTTTTTCTTCTGCTCTGAACATAGAACTTCAAAAACAGTAACAAAATAATCCCATTCAAAACAGAGTTCAAAACCCAGGCTCCGATCCCATTGCACCCGCCTTTCATGAAATGCAACATCAAAACCCCGATATGGCAGACCACGTTGCAGCCCAACAGCAGGATTTGACAATTCAACACAAAGGGGAAGCAAACGCCTCTTAACCCTATCGCCGTCCAGAATCTGTAGCCGTAGACGGCTGCGTAAATCAGGGTCGTGAATAGGATCGCCAAGACCTGAAACGACTGCGAAAATTCTAGCCAAAGGAAGGACATGATCGTCAATATGGAATTGTTGAAGAGGTAGAAGAAGGTTAATTTCCGGGTCTTGAAAATGGAGAAGATCGTACGGAACATGTGGAGGAAACGGTAGAGGTAAAAGATGTAGGACCAGAAGAAGACGCGGCCGGAGGGACGGGTACCGAGGGGGAAACAGAGCAGCCATTGGAATGGGGTCTTATAGCGACGCCAGAACCATCGGGTCTCTTTGATTTCCGCGGCTGCCGAGAGGAGGATCCCAGCGAAGATAACGGCGGATACGACGCTCATCACGAGGCTATGCAAGGCCGGGATCGGACCGAGCGACACGGGCCTGCCGCGTCGGATGAGGAGGCACAAAAAGAGGTGTATGAAAGAGGAGATGATGAGATAAAGGGCGATAGAGGTGACGAGGAAGGACCAGGTGGAGCCCCATATTTGGGTGTGGCTCCAACGGAAGGCGACGATGGAAGGGTGTTGGGAGAGGTAATAAGTGGCGACAGCGATCATAGCGTCGGTGGCGGCGTATGATCGGCGGTGTCGAATGGTGAGCTTCCTTCCGGTGAGGGTGGGATATTATATTCACATGTTTTAACTTTTAAATGGAACTAAAAGGAACGGATTGAAGGAAACTGGAGGGTTATATCATATATGGAGATTAAAATTGGGAGGGTTGGTTAAATATACTTTGTATGTTGGGAGATTGAGGATTTCTTACACATGCTATTTGGTTTTCAAAAACCTACTTTTCTTTTTTACTTGGTCAATCTATAACCAATTTTCATCATATATGTTAAAACTTTTGGAATTTATTTTATTACTCAATGTGTCGTTTTCCCTTAATTTTTCAAACTAATTTACATTGAGTTATTGGATAAAATTGTTATTTGGTTATAATCTCATAAAAAACCTTAATGCTAAACAGTTAAATTAATTAATCAAATTTAATTGAAATGATATTCAAACAAACAATGAGAGAAAGCAAGTGACTTATTCCAATTTAAAATTAAAATTATTAGAAAAATAATAATAATTTACTTACAAAATAGTAGGCTGAAACCTACAAAGTAAGACATGTTACAATAAACAATTTATTGCTGATGCTGTTTTTTCTTATATTTAAGAATATGGTATTTATTTTTCTTGCCAACCCCACTTAAAAGAATAGGCTTAAAGTCGATTCATGCATGCCAACATTGTAAATATTAAAAAGAAAAATAAACTATATTATTAGATTAGATGAACTATTCATGATAAATTGTTTTATATCTTTTAAGTCTAGTAAACTTATGTCAAGAGATTAAATATGTACATGAATACTCTAATATATTTTTAAAAAAAAATTAATTATCAATAACATGCACATATTTTATAAATGTAGTCGTTTGAATCAGAATTTCTAGGGTTTATCACTGAGGCTACTCAATAGGTTTTAATCTTATTAGTATGGGTAATCTTTTTTTATTAGTTTGGGGTGAATATAAGGTAGTATATGTTCAAAGACTCAACTATTTAACATTGAACGCTTATACATCATATAATCATCATTTTTCGCTCTATATTTTATTATTATTATTATTATTATTATTACAAACCCAAAACCAAAATCAACACAAATACAACCAAACCCAATTACAAGCCCTAACCTAAACCTAGCCAAACCTAACCCTAAACCTTCACCAACTTCCTGTCACTGTTATTGCTGTCAACCATCATCGCCTTCGCTAATGAGCCTCTGACAATTGTTGATCACTTCCCTATTCCAAGAAACCAACCACAAAATCAAATCAAAACATAAAAATCAAATAAAAAATAAAAATCAAATTTAATAAAAAAATTCAACCTAACCCCCTAAAAATCCAGAGCCCCATACATTTGTCTTATTTGCCTCACCAAACATCACTAAACCCGTCAATCAGGAGCAGGCAAGAGAAGATAAAGAGGGGAGCATAACCAATCTAAAAGGGGAATGAGAATAAGAGAAAAAAAGGGAAAGCAGATTCGAAAGAAAAAAATGAAGGCAATCCAACAAAAAATGAGCAAACAAGAGAAAAATCAGGCAAGATACAAAAAGAAAAAGAATCGAAAAAGATTAAAAAAAGAAAAAGAGAGGGAGAGAAGTTTACCTCTCGACTGGTGCTATTCACCGGCGTTCGAGACCTCTTTTGGCTAATCCGAACGATGGAGAAACGTCCCTCGAGCAGAAGACCAATGTACTTCAAAATCAGACCGATCCAATGGTCGGATGAGGAGATTGGCAAGTGAGAGACCAAATAATTTTCGGTCGATTCATGAGAATCAAAGCGTTTTATGGCAAAACCAACGCCTAATCCGCAATCCCGACGTCAAGGCGATGACGCCGATATAATTTTGGGCCAAGCCCTAACCTAAACCTAGCCAAACCTAACCCTAAACCTTCACCAACTTCCTGTCACTGTTATTGCTGTCAACCATCATCGCCTTCGCTAATGAGCCTCTGACAATTGTTGATCACTTCCCTATTCCAAGAAACCAACCACAAAATCAAATCAAAACATAAAAATCAAATAAAAAATAAAAATCAAATTTAATAAAAAAATTCAACCTAACCCCCTAAAAATCCAGAGCCCCATACATTTGTCTTATTTGCCTCACCAAACATCACTAAACCCGTCAATCAGGAGCAGGCAAGAGAAGATAAAGAGGGGAGCATAACCAATCTAAAAGGGGAATGAGAATAAGAGAAAAAAAGGGAAAGCAGATTCGAAAGAAAAAAATGAAGGCAATCCAACAAAAAATGAGCAAACAAGAGAAAAATCAGGCAAGATACAAAAAGAAAAAGAATCGAAAAAGATTAAAAAAAGAAAAAGAGAGGGAGAGAAGTTTACCTCTCGACTGGTGCTATTCACCGGCGTTCGAGACCTCTTTTGGCTAATCCGAACGATGGAGAAACGTCCCTCGAGCAGAAGACCAATGTACTTCAAAATCAGACCGATCCAATGGTCGGATGAGGAGATTGGCAAGTGAGAGACCAAATAATTTTCGGTCGATTCATGAGAATCAAAGCGTTTTATGGCAAAACCAACGCCTAATCCGCAATCCCGACGTCAAGGCGATGACGCCGATATAATTTTGGGCCCGAACAACCACCAGAGACGATGATGGCTGGCAGCCATGATTTAGAGATAAAAGAGAGCTTCTCTCTCTAAAAAAAGAAAAAAATGAGAGAATAATGAAAAATAAGGGCTAAAAGGGTATTTATACCGCTTTAAAATGACGTCGCTTTGCCCTCTAGAAACTGTGCGTTTTGGGTTTTTGGGGTAACTACTCTTTCAATCATTGTTTTTTCGTTTGTAATTTATTATTAGGGTCATAAAACATATGGTTTAATTATGTTTTTAGTCCTTTGATGTTTACATGCTTACATTTCTGTCACTACTCCAATTAATATGGTTGGTTAGGGGTTATTTACGTTCCTATCCTCCAAGTTTTACGTTGTCACATTTTAGTCCCTTTTATAATTTTATTGACTGTTTGCATGCTTGGACCTTGTAACTTTAATTTCTTTCAGATTAGCCCTAAACTAAAATGTATAATCACCTATTTGGCCGATGTATTTGTTATTTGTTCGTTTTTATACTATTATTATTATGTACATATATTACATTTAAATATTACTTTAGCTAAGTACGTATATATGTATGATTGCATTAATTTTTTTTACTTTTTAATAATATATTTTTTATAAAGTATTAAGAATGTAAATATCAAGAAATGTATTTTTAGAAAACTTCCTTATGTAAGTTTATTATTAAAAAGAATTTTTCTAGTATTGTATTAAGTAGTAATATTTAAAAATAATAGCTATGATTAATACAAAATTCACCGCTAATTATCCGACTAACCTATGGGAGACCTCCAAACACCTGGAGTGCCCTTCCAAGAGTTATTCGAATAAAATAATATTAATTATTATTTGTTACTTTCTATTTATTGATGTTATATTTAGGTTAATGAGGTACAGTTTGCATAAATATGTATTTTTGATATCTTCTGTTATAATAATGTAATTATTTTAATAAACAAATGCATATTAGGAATTTTATCTATTTTAGTATCTCGTTTTTTGGGTTACCTATTCATTTGTTACATCATATAGTTATTGCGTCCATATTGTATATGTTGTTCATTATTTGTTGCATTTATGATCATGTATTTCATTTCTCATTTTCTAAAACGATTAAAAGTAATGTTGTATTGCGTCATGAGTTAATAAAATTACGTCCAACCACTACAACAAAAGTGTTATGTAGCGGCCTTTGGAGAGTAAACGCCACAATATTTTGAAATATAGCGGCGTTTATAATCAAACGTCGCCAAATGATAATATAGCGGCATTTCTTCAAAAAACGCCGCAATAGATTGGTAATTTAGCGGCGTTTATGGCACAAACGCCGGTATAGAGTTATTTATAGTGGTCTTTTTATCAACAAACGCCGCAAAAAAGTAGTCATTTAGCGGCGTTTGTATAAAAATGCCGCTATTGAGTATTAATTGTGCAGCATTTTATGATAAACGACGCAATATGGTTGTTTTTAGTGGCGTTTTATGTACAAACGCTGCAATATAGTAGACATATAGTGGCGTTTTAACAAGAAACGCTGCAATGGAGAAGAAATTTTATGGCGTTTTAGGCCAAACGCCACAATATAACGGTAATTTAGCGGCATTTATACCTCAAACGCCGCAATAATTAATACTTTTGCGTCGTTTTTAGACAAATGCCACAATTGTATTAATCAATAGTGGGATTTTTTATAAACGCCGTAAAAGTATGTGATATAGTGGCGTTTTTTTAAAAACGTCGCAAAATGTTAAATATATGGTCCTCCTTTTCTTCTACTTGAACCCTAAAATCATTTCAACTCTTCTTCCCTCAAACCTTATTCTTTGGTACAACAACAGGCTGAGCACGATTCCAAGTGACGTCGTCTTTTGAATGTCCTGGCGACCAAATCTGCCCTCTGATTGCAGAGTTGAAACAGTTATGGGAAGGGGTAATTTATTTTGTTGTTAGGTTTTATTTTGCATAACTTGTGGGTTAATTAAAATGTATATATGTTAATTAGATAAAGCTACATATATCAGTCAGTTTAGCTGATGTATAGTAGAAATTAAATATGTAAAATCATTTTTATCTAAATAAAGGTAATTAGTGCCACTAAATTTAGACATATAGCAACGTTTTTTAATAAACGCCGCAATAGATTAGTACTTTAGCGGCGTTTTGAGAAAAATGTTGTAATAGGGTTAACATATAGCGGTATTTTGATATCAAACGCCGCAAATGATTCGGACTTTAGTGGTGTTTTGATAGAAAACACCGCAAATGTTTTTTATTTAAACGTCATTAACTTTAGACATATAGCGGGGGTTTTTAATAAACGCCACAAAAAATTAATACTTTAGCGGCGTTTTGACAAAAAAGTCGTAATAGGGTTCACATATAACGGCGTTTTGGTAACAAACGCCGCAAATGATTCGTACATTAGAGGCGTTTATACAAAAAATGCCGCAAATGTATTTTATTTAAACGTCATTAACTTTAGACATATAGCGGCGTTTTTTAATAAACGCCGCAATAAATTAGTACTTTAGCAGCGTTTTGAAAAAAACGCCGCAATAGGTTACACATATAGCGGCGTTGTAGTAACAAACGCCATACATTAACGATACATTTATGACGTTTTTACAAAAACGCCGCAAATGTTTTTAACATTAGTTGCGTTTATAATTAAAAACACCGCAATTGGTTACCCTTCAGTAGCGTTTGTATTGTTAAACGCCGCAAAGTCCGTTTTAATTCACCATTCACCCTAGCCATTTTTCCATCACGATTTTCCTTTCCATCTCCTTCACTGCGCCCATCATCCTTCACCTCTAACGTCGTCGCTTCCAACAATCTTCGGTCGATAACTAAAATCCAACTCAACATTTCTTAACCCTTCTTCCCTTGTTTCCCTTCCATTTCTCTCTGATTTCAGACTGGGGGGAAAAATTACGCGACGAAAACGAGAAGCTAACAATGTTTTGAGACTCGATTATAGTTTTCTAGTTGTTGCAATGTTTTGTTATCATTACGACAAAGATGCTAACAATGTTTGAATTCATAACTCTTCCCAGAAACTGCGTTTTATGTTGTCCGGTTTGAATAAATTCTTTTCTTTCCCTATTCTTTAGCAGCGTTTTCTTAGAATTTATATCAGGTAGATCCAAAAATAGGTACTACAAGAAAGACCACATTATGCAGGCCAAGAATAAAATCAAAACTCTAGGAGAGGTATAATGTAGGGATGAACATATGCTTTCTTCCTGAGATGGAAGATGTGGTTTGAAAGTCATGAGTATCATGATATATCAGAATATGGCATGTTGAAACCCGGTTCTAGGTGCAGTTTTGTGCATCATCATTTGTCCAATATTTGTATGAGACTCATTTCCTCATTAGCTTAAACCTTGCTTTGAACCTTATTTTGCAAGAGTGCTCATTGACTTTGCGAATGGTTTACTTTCTTGTCTTATATTAGCTGTTATATTTGTTGTGCTTGTGAATGCATAAATTAATGTTACCTGTGCAAATGCTTAAAGTCTTGTTAAATACAAAAAATTTAGAACCCTGGTAGTGTTCCTCCTGCAACATCAAGGCTTTCACCCCTCCCTCCTGAACCATATGACCGTGGTGCAACCGTAGATATTCCTCTTGATTCTGCCAAGGTATCCTAAAAGTTTCCATATGGTGAATGGCCAATTGTCATGTTTCTGGATATTATGTTTAAGCAAAAGACTTCTTTTGATATTTTTGTCTTGTCAAATCTAGGATTTGAAAGCTAGAGAGAAGGAACTTAAAGCAAAAGAGGCTGAACTAAATAAGCGGGAACAGGTAATTTGTTCTCATCTGTTTGCACTCGGGCGAGGCTTGCCAATGAATAATCAATCTGGTTCTTTCAATTTATTGTTTTTGGTATCATTTGTTATAAGTCATCCCTTTTGCATTGAAGTTCCAAATTATACACATTTCTGATGCAATTTAATTATTGCTATCTGCGTACAGAAAATGAAAACTGTAGTTTTGACTATAAATTTCTGTTTAATTGTTTTATCTGTCTCAATGCTTGTAAAATATCTTTTTTTCAGAAGTCTTTTCCTTTTTGTTATGAAAATTCTAAATTATGCAATGACTTGATCCTTGAATGTTCTGATGCAATATGTAATTGTGTTATCTGTCAGGTGGTTTTACAATTCATCTGCTTCTAGAACAAATTGTGCTCATAGTCTTTATATTTTGCAGGAATTGAAAAGGAAGGAGGATGCAATAGCACGAGGTAGGTTCTTTTTTTCCCCTTTTATCTCGATAACTTGTGTATTGCTTGGTAAGCTTGATTTTGACATATGTTCCTGCCTTCTTCTTGGTAGCTGGAATTGTAATAGAGGAGAAAAATTGGCCACCATGTTTTCCTATTATCCATCATGATATTGCAAATGAAATACCAATCCACCTGCAAAAGATGCAATATGTTGCTTTCACAACATTTTTAGGTTGAATTGTTTCATTATAATGTCGAAAACACCATGCGATAAAAAAACATGTAGTGTCATGATAATAAATCGGCTTGCATATTCATTTTTAGGTGGTCTGTTGGTACTGTTTGCTTTTTGGAATGCTACTGAGGGGGTCTCTGATGTCTATAAATTACTTAGAATTGTAGTTACAGTTAATGAATTAGGTTAGTGAAGCTTGTTAAATGGAGCCAAAATTTTCTCGAGATTAATTTTAACATAGATGGCTTTAACTTGTTTACTGTTGTTTACCTATTAAATTAATATTCCAACTCATTGATGGTCTTAGACCATATAATTATAACACAAGCGGTGAATAGGCTAACATGGTAATAGATGGTGTTTGTTGTGAACTATTTTAGTGCACTAAAAGTGCTCAAATTAAGCTGGCTAGGGAATAATTGTTAACTGGTTTTCTCAACCATAATTTTTATATTGCCATTTTAAGTATGAATAGTTTTGAATATTTTTTCTATTCTTCCTATTTTATGATAAAAACTCATTAAGCTGAATTTACTTATTTATAGGGCCAAAACCCTCTGAATTATATGGGAAGTATACATGGAAGATTGAAAATTTTTCGCAGATAAACAAAAGAGAACTTCGCAGTAATGCATTTGAAGTTGGCGGCAAATTCATAGTTCATAATGTCATTTTTGGAATTCCCGTTCTTTCATATCATTTTGGAGTTATACGTGGAGTATAAATTGCTTGTAAACAAAAACGTATAAATATTTTAAACTTTAGTCTATGTTGTTGGTTTAAAAGAAACACATGGGTTTTTATCAACCAAATTCCTTAGTTTTGACTTCAACTGTTTGCCATGATAGGTACATTTTAATTTATCCACAAGGTTGTGATATCTGCAATCATCTCTCATTGTTTCTCTGTGTTGCTGATAATGACAAGCTTCTTTCAGCCTGACTAAAAATATATACTTCAAGTAACAGTTTTTTACTTGCCTAGTCGTGTTGCAATTCTCATGGTAGTCTGGTTCCTCTTGTTCCTGATGTTTATAAAATTTCTTTGATTTGGTGTAGTGCTTTGATTTCAATAACTATGTTGACATAAACTCTAGAAGACCATTCTGGCGCTGCCCACATTGCAATCAACATGTTATGTGTGACTTGTGCAATTTTATATTAAAACAAACAGGGGAGAAAGTATACACTAACTAACTATATACCAACTCTTAGTTTCAGAATCGGTTTATGTAAACCTTGCTTGTCAGTGATTTTTTATTGTGGATGAAAGTTACTTATATTGAACTTATTTTTAATTAAAGCTGAAATGATTATAGCTCTTATTGTTGGTTGTTTGTATATAACTTTGCACATGTGACCAAGGGAGGTGTTAGAATGTTTTGATTGTGGGGTCAATTTATTAATGTTAGTCCTGTACTGATGTTAGATAATCATTTGTGTTTGTGAATTCAGGATTTTTAAAGCTCCAAATCAGTGAATACTACATTTGTGGACCCTTTGTTTGCACTTGTCTACTGTTTTTTTCTTGAAAGGTTGATTCTCAGAGAATTTTAGTGAACATTACCCAGGTTTGTTTCTTTGAACCTCATTTCTTTGAATGGTAAAATTGTAAAATTTAATTCATGATTTGATCTAAATTTTATATATACTTATCTAATTTTATTAGATGATTAGAATCGATCCTAATTAACCACAAAGAGAGACGGTGATAGAATTCAATGTAATGTTTCTGTTTAGGTTCTAAATTTATCTATAATATTAGCAATTAACATTTGAATTTGAAACTCCAGAAATACGAAATGGATAAGAGTTGGATGGATTTCTCAAGGGTAATCGTCGAATATCAAAATGGAGTCGAAAAATTTCTAAATTTAGCTTTTCTGAATGCAAGCCAAGAGAATATGATTCTTTGCCCTTGTAAGAACTGTGTTAACATTAACTGGCACATTCGTGAAGTTGTGTACGAGCATCTAGTTATTTTTGGATTTGTTCGAGGGTATAGAAAATGGATCTTTCATGGAGAGTTTGTATCAGATAGATATGCTTCTACGAGTTATTCGACTTATCCTGCCCCTTCTCACCATCCAACTTTTAGAGAAGATGACATGGAAGGGATGTTACAAGATGCATTTAATATGCATACTCATCAGCCGTATGTTATAGAAAATTATTGTCATAATGATGTTAATGATTTCATTGAGATGGGAAGAATTGGAAGTGCTGAAGAGCCAAATGGAGAAGCGGCAAAGTTTTACAAGTTGTTGAATGAAATGAATGAACAACTTTATGAGGGATCAAAGTTTTCACTTAAAATGCCTGGGAGGGTGGACTGGTAACTCCTTTACGCAATTATTGGAGTTACTAGGAGAAGTGTTTCCTTTTGCAAAAATCCCTCAATCATGCAAAGATATGAAGAAAATGATAAAAGATTTGGGTCTTGGATATGAAAAAATTCATAGTTGTCCGAATGATTGTATGTTGTATTGGGGTGATCGAAAAATCAGGACTCTTGCCATGTATGTGGAAAATCTCGATGGATGATTAGGGAGGCAGAAAATGTTACTGAGGATGAAGCTCAAGCACGATCAAGAAAGAAACCGAATAAGATTCTGCAATATTTTCCTCTCATACCTAGGCTACAAAGATTATTTATGTCCTCCAAGACTGCTGAGTCTATGAGGTGCCATCATGATGGCAGAACCGATGATGGATTATTACGGCACCCAGCGGATTCTTTAGCTTGAAAGTCATTTGACAACAAGTATCCAAGTTTTGCGAGAGATCCTCGAAATGTCAGGCTCGGTCTTGCAACTGATGGGTTTAATCCATTAAAAATCATGAGTACTTTGTATAGTACTTGGCCTGTTGTACTTGTTCCATACAATTTGCCTCCCTGGATTTGCATGAAACAATCATCTTTCATCTTATCCATGATAATCCCCGGCGATAAAGGCCCCGAAAATGATATCGATATTTACATGCAGCCACTAATTGTAGAGTTGAAACAGTTATGTGAAGGGGTCGAAACGTACGATGTGTTGACGAAGGAGAACTTTAATTTACGCAAGACTTTATTATGGAAAATTAATGATTTTCTTGCGTATGTAAATTTATCGGGTTGGAGTACCAAAGGTGGTTACGCTTGTCCTTGTCGTGTTGTAGAAACATGTTAGAAGTGGTTGGTTAATGGAAAAAATTTCTCTTATATGGGATATCGTCGGTGGTTACCTGATAATCATAGATTTAGAAGTCAAAAGAATATGTTTGATAGTGATGAAGAGTTTCGAAATGCTCCTGGCCAAACAATCGGCTCTCAAATATTCAGAATGTTGAAAAATATCAATTTTACTTATGGAAAGATGAATCAACCAAGTAGTGCACGATCAAAGATAAAGGCAAAGCAAGTCAATGAAGAGGTTAAAGTTGACGAACAAACTGATGATGAGTCTGATGAAGAGGATGATCCAAACGAGGTAGACTTGTGGAAAAAGATGAGTATATTTTTCGAGTTGCCTTATTGGAAAAAGCAGATTTTGAGACATAATCTTGATGTAATACATATTGAGAAGAATGTTTGTGAGAATATTATCGGGACCATTCTGAATGATGGCAGAAAATCTAAAGATAATCTTAAGAGTCGACTTAACTTAGTGGATATGGGAATTCGACATGATCTTTATTCGCAATTATGTCCAAATGGAAGAAATTTCTTGCCGCCCTCTATTTTTTCTCTTTCGAAGAAAGAAAAAGAAGTGTTTTGCACAGTGTTGAATGATATAAAAGTCCCAGATGGGTATGCATCAAACATTTCTCGATGTGTCAGTGTTAAAATATCGAAGACTTTATGGTTTAAAGTCACATGATTATCACATATTAATACAAGATTTATTGCCAGTAGATGTTCGCGGTTGTATGTCGAGTAAGGTGACGTCTTGTATCATTAAACTTTATAATATAATGAAAGCCATCTGTGGGAAAGTTCTAATGGTTGAAGAACTTGATAAACTATAATATTTAGTCTCCTTGACTTTATGCAACTTGGATAAGATATTTCCACCTTCATTCTTCACAATTATGGTGCATCTGCTAATTCATCTTCCTCACGAAGCAAGAGTTGGTGGTCCAGTTTTCTATCGATGGATGTACCCTATAGAGAGGTGTTATTTGAATTACACGTTTTAAATTACTACTGATTATACCTCTCACTCAAATGTATTTACGTAGTATGTTGTTTTGTGTATAGGTTATTGGGCAAGTTGAAGTTTTATTGTCGTAATAAGCGTTATCCGGAAGGATCAATTGCTGAAGGGTATTTGGCAGGGGAATGTATGACATTTTGCTCTAGATATTTGGAAGATGTTGAAACAAGATGGAATAGACCAAATCGAAATGATGTGTTAAGTACTGATGACTTGCCTCAACATTATTTCTTTGGAAGTTATGGTCAACCATTAGGGAAAGTTGAAATTACACACTTAGATGACACGTCTTGGGTACAAGCACACCGATATGTTCTTTTTCCATCACGATTCAATAGATCCCTTTCACACGTAAGTCTTTCGGACCCAATCCTAATGAAATCTCTTTATCTTTTATATTTATCAATTTTTAACGACATAATATTCTTTATAGTGAGTTTAAAGAAGTATTGAGATCTCGAGCACGCTCCCGAAGATTAAATCAGCGAGAGCTACATAAGTTATTCACATAAACTTTTCATGAATGGTTAGGCCAGACGGTAAGCAACTAAATCTTACGGAACACTTATAAATTATATACGTCTTGCTTTTTATATCGACGTCAATGCAAATTAATTCACCATTCATGTGTAATAGGTTTTGAGTGGGAGAGAAGTTAGTGAAGAAGTTAAATGGATTTCTCAAGGTCCGAATAGAATAGTTAAAAGATATAATGCCTTCCTCATTAATGGGTTCAGGTTCACACGAAATCTCGTGAAAGATTAAGAACGACATAAAATTGTGGAGTCGTAGTTACTTCGTTAACTA